TTATACACTCTATGTTTACGCACTTACATGGTTCTTGAGCTAAAACTGCTCATAAAAGGTTTAATGTATTGGGCTGAAGGGGAGGTTCTACACTGAACAGTGATTATGAACAAATAACAGTTTATACATCAGGCAAGTCACTGGTGTACTCATCTAAAACCAAAACAATTTTGCAGGTCGCTAGGTTTTGAGTGGTTGTTACTGCAAAAGCAAATGATGAGGAAGTTCCATTTCCAGTTTTGGAAGGCTGTTAGGAAGTTTTTTTTCCTGATGTAATGCATTTGATCTTGTATCTCTCTAGCCACAGGAGGACTTGCATCCCTGTAGGATGGATAATTAATTATATTTTGGATACATACAAGACTGACTGCTAGAATACTTTTTTGGTAACTTTTTTGTAGTTAAAAAAATAATTTTATTTTTCACTGCTAGAGAACTTGTTTTAAAAGCTGTCTTTATTTTCCTTTACAAAATATCATGAACCCATCTGTCACTTTTTTTGCAGGTATTTTTCAGCACTGTCACAATAATTTCAAAGCAGACAAAATAATGTATATCATTAGTTACCAGGAGTCCAACAAGATTCTATTCACACTCGATACATTGATTTTCTAGTTTAAATAGTCAAATACATATTTTCTTGCATGACTATTAACTCTGTTGTGAGAGGATGCCATGGGAAACATGAGTGAGGTTAACATCATGTGTTCCCTGTGATTCCAGTGCCCATAATACAGAAAATTAGATGAATAGTCTCAAATACTGCACATCCAGTATCTGTGCCAATATCAGAGCACAAGCTGGTAAATGTAATCTACAAGGTGGTTTGTCAAGGTATAAAGATTCCGCTTTAAAACTGAAATTCCAGTCAGCAAGTTGTACCTTATAAAATCACTTCATTAATTGTCAAAGTCACATTAGGATGACTACTCAGTAATTTGCTAAAAGGAGAGGCCAACCAGCTATGGGGTAACTATAGAGTGATGCAAAAAAAAAGCATCAAAGCAGTGATGGGGGTAAAAGGAAGGAAAAAACCCCCATACTACAAGCAAAACCACATTACTCCTCCCCCCAAAAAAGTAAGCAGCTAATCCTTTTGAAAATATTCCAAGTAACACTACGAAGCAGTATTGCAGAAGAGTCTGGAGCAAAAGTCCTACAGTTGGAGCCAAGTGAAGGTCAGTCTCTTCTACCATGTCTCAGTAGAAAGGACAAGAGGAAATGGCCTTAAGCTGCATCAGGGGAGGGTCAGATGAGTCACCATCTCAATTAGTTTCCAAGAGGCAACTGTATGTGGCACTTAGGGATAGGGGTGCTGGGTTGATGGTTGGACTAGATCACCTTGAAGGTCTCTTCTAACCTTGATGATTCTGTGAAGCAGTTACATACATGAAACAATGAGCCTCATATTTTAAAAATATAAAGCAAATGTATGTATGTATACTAGTGAGGTTGGGGTGAGTTTTGGTTTTCGGTGTTTCTTATTTTTCCACAGTATAAAATACATACTTGTCTTTTCCTGCAGCTTTTTTCTTTTAAAATAAAGGTCAGCATTTAAAATGCATTTATACTGAAGCAAACCTGAAACCCTTTCTAAAAATACCCATTCTAAATTCCTACTGCAGAACAGCCGTAAGTTATGCACTTTCAAGGGTTTTCTCAAAGTAATTAGTGCATATGTTCTTTGAAAACAATATCTGATTTGTGTCAATCACACCTATAGGGAGGACTCTAAACCTGGTCAAAAAAGAAGTGGTTGGGATGATGATGAACATCAGCATCACCTAAGCGCTGCGATGGAATGCCTTTCTCAGATGTGTTTTGACTAGTTCATAAAGAAACTCTTATACATAACTGTCAGATTTAATAAATAAATCTGTGCTTGGAACAGCAATGTACATGCCAAAACAGCAAAGTGGATTTCAATAATTATGCAAAAACCTGAGGGCACAGACATTCAATATTATTTATCTTTACAATGCAGGCTGTTTTGAGCATTTAGAGAACAGTCCATCCCTTTATTTATAAAACAAAAAACCAACCAAAACCAAACATATCTTTAACACTGTTAAGCAATTTTTTTAAGAGGAACCTCCTTCAATCTACTTTCCTTCTTAAGGATGTTCTATTGAAAGAAATGTATGTTTTCTTATTGCAAAGGATAAGACCCCAGATTACTATTAAGAGACGTGGGTGTTTTGGCTGGAGAACTTTTGCTTGGAAAGAATCTAGAAAGCTTCAGTACAAGAGCTGTCACTAAAGTAAGCATTAAAATGTTTCAATTTACATGTTCCTGTTCTCCAGGTGTGGTTTAGAACAACCACCATCTATTTGACTGCTCAATATTCAGCAGGAATCTGCCAGCCAGGTCTTGCATAAAATAGGAACAAATGCTACTTTCTGCTCAGTGAAGTGAGCTCAGTTCTCACTTTAAGTTAAGAGATCCTTGACAGTGTTATCCCTGACAATATTCTCAGATCTCAAAAATTAAATATTTAAAGACTTAATGAAAGCTAATTACTGAACTGCAGAAAACTCAAATTCAGTTCAGCAAAACATTTGGTGTGGAAAAATAAACTACAGGAATAAGTCAGTCACAGTGCAACAGATGTGCTATTTATCCAGTCAGAGCTGTGGTCAGTATTTCCATTAAAAAACTTCTTCATCATAAATTTATTATGGCAGTTACTAAGCAGTTACCTCAAACTGACTTGGCAGACAAAATTTCCTTTAAATTCAAAGAGCTCTTCTAAAACTTAAAAGAGAAAAAGAAAAAAGAAAAAGCCTGTTGCATCTTTTCACAGACACAAGATTGCTATAAAAAGTGTGTTCTTCTCTTAATTCCCACCATCAGATACATTTCCCCACCAGGTAAGTCTTCCTCGTGCTTGGTCCATTTTCCCTTTTCTGTGTTTCAGTCTACCAGTCACAGTTGTATTTTTGACTGCTTCAGTAAGCATCCTTGAAATATCAGGAAACTTCACTGCTCTACTAGACCTGCACTTGCCAAATTTGCAGTTGCTGCTCAAGTTACACAGACAAACAAGTCCCCAGTAATTTGAAATTACAACATCTGTAAATCTAATTAGTCACTGACTTCAGAAAGGTAAAATACTGTCTTTTTGAGGACACTGTGGCAATAGAAGCTAAAAGTCATAGTAAACTTTGAAATGGCTTACAATGATAGCTGAATAGGGAGCATCATACAAAATTGTGAACTTCCTTTGAGGAAGCAACAGAATGCAAGATGTTTCCTTTCTTCTAAAACTAAAATGCATTTCTTCAATAAATAAAAAAACCAAAACAAAACAAACAAGGAAAAGCCAAAACCAACAACCCCCAATTCAAACAACCAAATAACCAAACCAAACAACACAAAAATCCCCAAAACCAATAAAAAAAAAAATCCTACAAACCAATAAACCTCCACAAAAAACATACAACCACCAAACCTCCCAGGACAAAGAAAGCCAAACAAACCCCCCCCCCCCCCAAAACAAACACCCACAAACAAAAGAAACCCTAAACCAAAAAACCCAAGACTCTGAAAAACCCCACTTCTTCCCCCAAAAAAACAAAACATATAATCCTCTACAGCTAAGACTATTCTTAACACAGCAGGTGGACATAACTACCTTAGGCCTGGCTACAATTTTCCAGGGCACAACAATGAACATTATTTTCCCACCTTTTACACAGATAATTAGTACTTTCCTCATTCCCCTAGTTCCCTTCAGCATTAAGGCAGCAGGTATAAAAAAAAATGTATTTTTTCAACTGTTAGCACAGAAAAAATATTTTGCCTTTAATCCAAGGAGGTGTGGCAGTTATGCTCCTCCACACATGCACCTTGGAAAGCCAACCAGGGAAGTCTTTCAAAGCATAGCACTCAACTAAGAGAGTAATCTGACATCTCAAACAACAACCTTGGGTTTTAGGTATCAGACTAGTTTGGAACAACACAGTCACAAGGGAACTACTGATCTTCAGTGTTGTTCTAACCCAAGGTGAAGACTTAGCCTTTGATTATGTACCAAGGTACCCAAGTTGACTAACTGGATTCAGTTCAGGACAGCAAAAATGTCTCCTTCACAAGAAAAACATCCAGTCAAATTGATTCAAAGAAACTTTGTTCTACCAGGCTATAGGTATTGGTCTAAAAAAAACCCACATAAGGTCTGTGAAGTAAGGAGAAGAGGAATCCACTAACATAGCAACACTTAACTGGACATTAAATAAACTATGTATTTTATAAATCTTGAATTACTATGTTGGCAAGACAGTAACCAGCAAAACAGCAAATGAGTCTCAAGAAGACTGAAGGATGATTAATCTCTACAGTCCTAATTACTCTTGACTACCCGTAATTAATCTGACCAGTAGTTGAAAAGAAGTCACCTTTAGTCCTCCATCAAATCTCAGATATTTGTATTATGAAAGCACACACCCCTTTTTTGTTGCATTTTAATATTTTTTAAACAGGTCAACCTGGAATCTTAGCACAGTGACTTGTTTCAAGCCCTAAATCTACATCTTAAAAATATTCCCCTTCAGAGTCCCCAGCTTTCAGGTCTGGGGACATCCTTATATGCTCCAGCAAGATTTCTGATCTGGGTAACAAAGGGACCAAGGCCACAGGGCACAACACACTGTAGCACACATCATGCTGTACAATTGCTCTGTAATTAGAAACAGACTAACCAAATACAAATAGGACCAAATTGGCTTCTTTTAAATTCTCTGCATCACAGAAGCACTGGTTTTGTATTGCATTTTTCAAAAAGGTTCCATATTAAATGAAAAATAAAATTTAAAAGCAAGATAAAATTCATCATAGTAAAAGAATTAGAGGGAAGACAGTAATGATCACTGTTTCAGCTGAACTCCCAATGTCCTACACCATTTCGCTTTAGGTTATGATGACAGCCCCAAATTCTACCTTAAAGCATTCTTGGCACAAGCAACTTCATATATGAGATCAGCAGCAAGTAATTACTAACCTTTCTACATTGACTGGCTTGTCAAATTTAAAGAGAATATAATCTCCAGCAACTGGTGTGACAGCCCAGAAAAAATCTTCCCCTACGTAGGTTTTTTCTAGCGTATGCCCCTGGTAGACTTTTAAAGATGTCGAAACCTCTGCAGGTGGATTCACATGGATTTTATGCAGTAATGGTTTCAGGAAGTCTTTATCCTAATTGAAAGACAGACAAACATCATGATGGTCAGACAACCTTGTTTATTATGTTCCTTTCCCAAGTGGTTACACTTAAAACAAACATTGGCATAAAATGGAAAATGAATGCATTACTCATTTTGGGTGCATCAGATCTTGTACTGCTCAGTAACATGGGCATTCCATTAAAGCAAAAAATTAGAAAAAATATCCCCTCGCAAAAACCCACATATATAAGCTGGACTAGCACTTCCTCTACTTTATAGCAACCAGTCTGTATCAGATTTAATTCCAGCTGGAGCAATACACATCATGCTTGAAAATGCAAGACAATAAGAAAAGGCCTGTTTTCTCCACAATGTTTTTCATTTAATCAGCTTGCACTGTAAAGGAAGGGAAATATTTTTTACTAACTGTGAGTTTCTGGATCTTCCCTGCTAGAGAAGAGTGGAGGCCAACATGCTGGAAAAGTGAAGGCCTGAAGCGTATCCGTAGGTTAGATTTCTGTCGATCACAATGTTTCTGAAATGGTGAGGGGAAAAGGTAAGGGTGGGATAAAAAACAGAAACAAAACAACACATTAGTGAAAACCAACACAAGGTAAGAACCTAGGCCTATTTATCCAGTTTTTCTTGTTTTCATTTCAGAAATCTATCAAGATTGCTGTGCCAATGTAATATTGTTCAAGGTCCTTGCACAGAACCTGTTTATTCAGCAAGGGAGTCTCTTGAGAAATGGAGAACCAAAATATGAAGTTTATTCCCCTTTTGGAACCTTCTCCAAGACTGCCATCCAAGCAGTGACATCCTGCAGAGCTTTTCTGGTGGTTACATGTAAAAGTTTATTTTAGGTCTGTTACACACAGAATCTTACTAGACTTTTGCTTTTTATCCTTACTGCACCCATCTCCAAAATCTGAAGCAATAACAGTTGTGATGCCCCTGAGAACTGTCCCTCTAAATTTCTTTTTGAGATAAAAATCTTGGCAGGAAGAAAGACTCTTCCAGAGCATGCAGTAACCATAATGTACACTATGCTGGCTTTCAGCTCACAAAAATCAACTCATTCATCATCATAAAAACATTTCAGAAGCTTTATAACAAAAACAAACTTACAGCATCTTTCTCAGGGTTACACACTTTCACCCAGAGGATATGGTCCAGGAGCCAATCAATAGGTTTCTCCTTATAAAACATAAATATGAACTCTACAATAAGAGTGATATCTGGAGACTGGAACATTTTACCTGTGGGTGACATTAAGAATAACTGGAGTTACTTTAGATTAGAGCTAACACTGTCTTTTGAAATAAATGAGATAGCAGATGATAATATTTGTGCCAAGACAAGAAATATCAGCACTGAACAACTTGAAATTTCAATGTTATTAGAAGTTCCATACATTTCAACTAAATAAAACAGCTATTCAACAAGAATTTGTCATATATCTTGGTGCTATCAAAATATTCGGTGTATATTCAATGTACCACAACACGGTCTCCTTAAAAGTAGAAATTGTCAGTTTGAAATACTAAGAAAAAGAAGAGTTATGGATTGGCATCTATTATTCCCCATGTCACATGTAAGTTCAAGCACCTGAGACGAGGAGTACTGCAAGTGTTATCTGCCCAGTCTACCCAGTCACACAGCTTCAGCTTCTGCAGGTACAGAAAGCAGAGATGCAACACCTGCCACTAACTTCAAAACCTTCTGGGCAGAAAATCAAAAGGAAAGAAGGAAGATACCAAACATATCTAGAGGCAATGCAACTCAAAAAGAGACATCCCACAGTGACCAGAATATTTTTCTGCAGCGCACAGCAGTACTTTTGGGTGGCACCGTGCAAAAAGATTCTTGGGAATCCTGCAGACTGTGAGGCTTAAAGGAGGCCTTTGCAAAAGAAGGAAACTCACTGTTGATGGAGAAAGCCTATATAATATCAATATTATATCAATATAATATCAATATGAGCAGTCACCTCCATGGTTGTGGAATACACTCCTCTGGCAGTAGAGGTGTCTGAAGAGAAAGGTGGCCAGTACATGGGGCTACTGTGTCAATCTGAATGCAACACTTGAAAAAGGTGCCTTGCATGAAAACACACAGGAGCAACACAACTGGCAGTGGGGCAGTCCAAGGCTGAAGATAGACTGACAAGTGCTTGTACCAGGGACTGCACTGAAGCACTGGAACAGGCTGCTGAGGGGAATGCTTAAGGCACCATCCCTGGAGGTATTTAAAAGGTCTGGCACTTGGGGACATGGTTTAGTGGTAGATTTGGCAGTGATGAGTTAGTGGTTTGACTCAATGATCTTTGAAGTATTTTCCAACCAGAATGATTCTATGACCATATGCCAGCTAAAATCCCAAAGGCAGTTCCACATTTCAAGGCAGATTCGGGAAACATCACCAGGTTTGCATATGAAGTCTGAAGTCTTTGCTAGGTTACAACAGAGAAAGCAAGAAGAAAGACATCATGTAACAATGAATCTCTCAGGAGGACATCGGCTGAAGTGATTCAACTCTACAGATGTTGCTGAGATGTGGGCAGTGCTGGACTAAACAGGGATGGGCTATTGGATCATGTGTGCACCAATGGATCAGAGTCCAGCACAAGCTCTTTCCAATGTAAGTCTTCTGTCTATCCACATTTTGGAGTCCTGTACAACACACTGACACACAGCACTCAGGCATGGGAAATGTTTTGAGGGTTTTTTTCCACTTGTGAAGAGGCCTCCATAGACTTTCTAAATAACAAGTTCCACAAGTGGTAGAAGTTCTAATATTTTCTCCTACTCTTAGGAAAACCAGCTGGAGTAGCTATTAAGAGGAGACCACTGGAAGAGCCTTGCCCTTTTCACAAAGCAGGTCTGATGCAATCTCTTTTCTTTATGACTTGTGTGAAACTGGATAAGAACAAAACCAGTGCAAGAATACTCAATGGAAACTCTGGGCAGAGTTTGGAGGTGTCTGAGTTAGACTACATCATCATGCCATGCAACAAATATGGAAGAAGCATCTGACTAAAGTACCAATTATTTCACCTGTTAGAATGATATACTCATTATAGTAGACAATTTACACACTGGGGTGGAAAAGTGCGTGTGATAAAACATTAACTGATTTGACATTGCTATATCAACGCTGTCCCTTACAGAAACTTTTCATCCAGCCCTTTACAAAGCAAAATATTTGCATCACTTTTAAGTTGCTGCTGTAATGAGGTCGTCAAATAGGTATCTCCACATGAAAATACTCTGTAACTAAAATTTGAAACTCCCACTACACAAGAGACAACTCCTACTAAGCTAGGGACAACTGCAAAACCTTATTCTTAAAAGATATCAGAAAGATGTTATTATTTTTATTAGTACATTGTTAGTATTTACACACGATATTGTCACATTGTTTAACATTATTTGTGGAAGTAAATATTTAAAAATGGATAGGAAACAATCATATGATTAGTTAAATGTGGTGTAAAATAGTCACGCTGAATAACAGATTTCAGCTTGTCACACTTCCAACTAAACAGACCCCAGTTTTCCTGGTGATTCATCTCTGCCTACTGCTTTCAATGGCATAGGGCAAGAGAGGAGAAAAATATGGTAAGCCCTAGTAAAACACCAGCTAAAAATGGGACTAATCAGATGTTTCTGGGATTTTTATGGGACTGAAACCACCATTTCTAGGTGACAACTGCGGAGGCAGTCTGTCAGTCACATCTGTTTCCATACAAGGTGCATCTTTCCATGTGGTGTCAGAGAGATGGACAATACGATCAGAGTCAGAAGATAGAAATATCCCCACAATACTGCCCCAATTTCAGTGCCTCTTCCAGGATCTATGCACAGCCATGATGCTCTAGAATCCTTTTATTCTTCTACCCAAGGACAGAGCAGAAGAATCACACTGACATTTTTTCCTTTGACTAGCTCATCTTCTGAAGAACATAGGGATTATTGTCTTGTCCTCACTCATAGACCACGTCACTGAGAACTTGGCATGAAGGTACAGGATCCTACAATTAAGTAAACTGAGAACAAGACTGAAGGTAAGTGAAGGTCTTCTCACGTTAATTCTTAATGAACACTATAGCAAAAGTGAACAGGCAACACCCTGATCCCAAGACAAGCCCTTGTCTTCCTTCAGTAACCAAGGACAGACAACCCCATACCACTTTCTGAATGTTGTCACAGCCTTCCACACACAGCTTGGCCCCAGCCCCTCTGTATAACGTTGCCTCACTCATCTGTCATTTCTGTCTCAGGACACCACCTGCACAGCAGTTCTGCCATGGAGCCATGTCCCCTTTTTTTTCCATCAAAACAGTCTCTCTACAGCAGCTCAAAACCAGAGCTCTGCAGTGAAGTCTCTGAAGGTTGAACAGGTCTTCAAAGCCCTGGATCCCTGACTGGCCACACCTAGTCCTTGTAATGGAAACCAGCCCAGTACAACTCCTACTGCACAGATCCAACACCCAGCCCCTCTGAATCCAAACCAACCAAGCCCTTGCCTAACCAAGAGCAGCAGCAGCAGCACCAGCCTGGCTTCCCTAGGGCACAGCCACAGCCCAAGAACAAGCGGCAACATTTGCTGAGGTCCTTCTGACCTGCAGCTCCCATGCAGCAGCATATGAGGAAAGTGCTGTGAGCCACAGAACCACTGGGACACCACCCAAATCCAACCTAGGGGTTGCCCACTGGCCATCCCCAATGTGCAGTCAAAAATCATCAAGCCAAAAAGACCTAAGCAAAACACTGCAGTGAGCACGCACTGCCTCAAACTGCAAACTCTGTGAAAGAATTGAAGCAATGGCTCGTCTTGCACCATGTAAATGCACTTGGTACAGTACATGGGAACACACATAAATCCAGGACACTCTGCTGACAAAACTTCAGAGCTTTTGGATTCTGGGCACATGCAACCTACCATTGTGAAGAAATTTCAAAATCTGAAAGAGTTAAGAGACAAAGGTAAAATTTAGCTCCATAAAACCCTAGAGATACAAAACATAGACTTTCTCCAAATTATTTATCTATATTGATAAAAATTACTATCAGGACTGAAAAATAAAAAAACCCTGTGGAACACTTTTTGATTTACTGTGCCCTGACAAGACTTCTATTCATTTTTCAGTCCTTTTAAAGGCCATCCTTAGTGAATTATTCTGGCCATCTCAGTATTTTGCTGGCAAATACAAGGCACACACAAAATGAAACACTTTGTTTTCTAGTTCTCTGAACTGCCAATATCTAAATCATTTTAATTCTTCCATATGAGCATCACTATTATTTAGTCTACACCAACAATAATTTTACACCTGCAAGCACATATTCTAGCTATAGCTGATGTTTTCAATGCTTTCCCTGGTAATGATATGCAAATTGCTGGCATTAAAACCAGAATCTCTTTGAAGTTATTTAAAGCTCAAATGTTTGACTTGCTCTACTCTTTCCCAAACTTCAACTATGTGCACAGCTTGAGCAAAATTGCAATCAGAACAACTTAAAATAATCAAAACAACAGGCCTTAAAACATCAGGGCACAATAAGACTCAGAGGAACTGTATAAGACAACCAAAAGGCCATTTCAGACCACTCCATGTAATGTTTGTGACAGCTGGCATCATAGGTGCAGTGCAAGGATTGCAGTTCCTCTGGAAAACATTTCAGCTCGCAGGCAGTTGGAAGAGAAATCCTTATTCCTCATAAAAAACTAGTAGGACTTTCCTACATTATGTCACAGGTCTCGCAGTGCAAACAAGAATCCTGAAGAGTAAAAGATAGATCTCCTTCCACAGAGCTTCTTAAGGAAACAGCATACATCTCACCCATTATTTATTAGATACTTGACAGCACTTAAGACTATGCTTTCAAGATTAAAAAAAAACCAAAGGAAGCAACGTCTGTTCTGTGGCAGAGGTGACAGAATTCTATAATCCTGCTGTCAGCCTAAATAGCTACATTTGCCACTTCCTCATGTAGCACTTGCATAAATTAGATTTTCAGTTCAGAAATACACTATGACAAAAAATCCCACATTTTTACCTCGCAAACTTGCAAGCTAAACAAGGTTTCCAACAGCTAACAGTGAATCAACCACACCACTCTTTTTGAGAGATTATTTCTAGTAGCATCTAGACAACAGTTGCCCAGAGAAGCTGTGGATGGTCCACCCCTGGAAGTGTTCAAAGCCAGGCTGGATGGAGCTCTGAGCAACCTGGTCTAGGGACAGGTGTCCCTGCCCTTGGCAGGGGGTTGGAACTGGATGCTCTTTAAGGTCCTTCCCACACCAGGCCATTCCATGATTCTGTGAATTGAGTGCTCTACACATAAAACTGACCCCCAGTTACAAACTACTGTTGCTCTTCCCAAAGGTATCTGCATTACCAAATTGCCACAGTATCAGTCTGCATCAAGATCCATAAAGGGATAGCAGAGATGAGAAAAATCTACATTACTTGCATAAAATTTCCAAGCAATATATGATTATAGCACACCAATGTGTACCAGAGGCAAAAGTTTTAGTTGCTCTTATGAATACTAATTTTTCTCTCAAAGGTTAAAAACAGAATAAGTAGCTATACTGGAAGAAGAAAAAAAATCTAATTTAATTTTCTAGGTAGAAAAGCAACATTAAGATCTGTAACCATAGCTAAATGCATCTGAAATTCTACTGATATCATCTAGTTAAAAGGAGGCAAACAAATATGAGACAAGGAACAAAGAACAGGAATGCAAGCAGCAGGAGCTAACAACTAAATTTAACTGCAGCTACTTTCAGAGCCCACACTGCCCAGAAGTATACAAACAGTATAGAAAACAAGATATTTTTCAACAGTTTTGCTTTTGATTAAGCCAAGTCTCAGTATTAAGAACTATCTACCTACCCTACCAGGCTTAAACACTGTGCCCTCTACAACAGAGAACAGAAAGGGTGGGGGGTGTGAAACACACAAATACTAAGTAAGTTAAGTGACCTGAAATACAACTGCATGGGGTAGACAGCACACATCCTAAAGTGTAAGCTGGTTTTATGCACATTTGGTTTTATGCACATTTGATGTGTCATTCTTGAAAAGTGGCAATTTGTAAGCGAGCACACTCTACTACTAAATCAGGCAAATGTAGAATAGATGTAAATTCTATAGCCCAGGAACTCCATACAGAATTTACACTTAAAGTGCAATCAGACTGGAGCTAAAACTCAAATTGTGGGCTGAGTCTGGGTTAATGTTTAACTGTTCAGCAGTAGAAAGTTGTATCAAAAGCTGTATTCAACCAGTCCCTGCTAACACATAACAGAATGTTGAAGGAGTTCCCCAGCCAAGGAAAAGTTTATTTAGAGCAAGATGTCAGTAAACTACTTAACTTCTTATTTTTCCATGCTAGGCAGCATAATTTCCTATTTCTCCCACCTCTAAGGCCACAGAACCAATTCCATAATTATTTCAGCAACAGTGTATCTCTGATGGTAGGTAGCCCAAAGCAGTTAGGTGATGGCCAGGTGTAAGGAGACTTCACTCTGCCCATTTCCTTTCCTCCTCCCCACTGTTTCTGTAGATTAAACTGGCAGGCAAGTTTCTGTAGATTAAACTGGCAGGTACTTAAACACAGTACCATTCCTTTCCTTTCCTCCTCCCCACTGTTTCTGTAGATTAAACTGGCAGGCAAGTCTACAAAGTACCATTCTGTACCCTAACAGCATGTAGGAGGGATAATTACTGTTTTCCTTTCTACTCCAGGAACCTCTGAGATTCCCAAAGTCAGGGAACTGTTGCACACCTGATGCTGAGCTGGAAAGAGGACAGCACATATTCAAGTAGTGCCAACATTCTCAGGTCTCAGTACAACCATTATGGCTCACTGAGCTAAAAAGGAAGCCATTCTCTGGCAAGTAGATCCAAGGGAAAGAGAACAACAAGAATTTCCAAGAGAATGACAGAACTTAGGGCTGCACTTTTATCTGTTACACATAGGATTTTCCTTCTGTTCTGAACTCAACTTACAGCCTTCATATTGGAATCATTTGTGTTGACCACAGGAATCTCCAGTGTCTGCCCCAGCTTTTGATTTTGTCTTGCATATCTCCAGCTTGCTGCTTTTAAAAAGATCATGACACATCAGTGCAGTAATGAAATAACCTTTTGATTTGTAAAATCCCTCCAAACTTCTCTATCATTGCTTTTCTGTTAAGTCTAGTATCTCTCTATGAAAAGATGCTAGTGCAAGAGCAATTTCCAGAGCACCCTGACAGCTGACCCACAACCCAAGATCCTGCATTAACTCCTCTCACTGTTGCTCATTGCAAATGACAGACTCTGACTGCATCTAGGAAGGAACAGATTGTCCTAACTTCTCCTTCATGAAGTAGAAAGATGGAGATAGAACAGGCTTTGCAACAAATTGATGCCTGCTAATTCTTGGAAATTTTGGCACAAACACCAATGAAGTTATTTTAGGTGGAGCTGATTTTCATGATTTTTCCTTATTTCAGCCAGTTATGTTTGAATTACATTTTTGTTTTAACAGAAGCTATATTAAAAATAAATCATGCCTTTCAGTTTGATTGTTAGTATTTTTATAAATTAACTTTTGTTATCAAAATTCCCTCTTTTCCAACAGTTTGAGTTTGCCTCCATCATAAAAAAGTATATGAAACAAACAAGGGGCAAAAGCAACAACCATGAGCTAAACCAGAGTTCCTAAAAAACGCAATGAATTTCTACTTCTTGGTCTATTTCCAGTACAAAGAAGATATCTTTGAAGCCAGATCACTATTAATTCACAGTCTGAGTATGAATGTGTTCTTTCAAACTGCAAAAGTGAACATTTTCTTACCAATGAAACCCAGCTGAGAAAATTCTAGAATCATCCAATCTTCAGAAGCAAGCTGAAGTGCAAAATTTTTTATTGTGCTGAAATAATTCTGCTTGACAACAATGTCATCTTCAAGCTAGAGGAAGGTAGAAGTGATATCAACATTAAAAAAAAAAGCACTAGCAGAGCAATAGAAAAAAGTACAGCTAGGAAATACTGACTTATTATATATTGCTAACACATAGCCATGTATTTCTAATGCTAGCACTGATATAAAACATAGATACCATAGCCTGGAATAACTATTGTAGGGATCAGTCCATTTGTGGAGAACTAATACAGAATTCTTGTGGAAAAGTAATACAGAAACTAGTAAGAATCCACAAACATATCTCAACTTCTTACTTTAGAACACTGCTTTTCCAGCTTCTTTCTTCAAAGGAAAAACATCATGAAATAATGCTAGTCTAAGTGGCATCATCAGAACCAGTTTAATATCTGTATTATTTGTACACAAATGTGACTGTTGACTCACAAATGTAAGAGCTGAACTGAAAGAGTTCCTCCTCTGAGACAGGAGGCTGAGAGACACAATCTCTGCAGAGGCAGGATTCATTCTGCCTGCCCAACAGAAGCACAGGGGCATGGCCCACAACCCCCTCGTCCAGAGCTGCCCACACGGGGTGCTGCAGTGCCTTTAATGCACGGTAATGCATTAAAGTGCATTAAAGGCCACTGCTGCATTAGGGATCCTGCTTCTCCTGTCCTTTCCCACAGCGCAGTCATGCCCTCCCCCTTGTGCTGGCACTAATATTTGTGCAGCTTCCCAGTGTCAAACCAGGCTGTCACATGCTATTGGCTCTGCAGCTTCCCAGAGAGCTGAGACTCCAACAGCTCTGAGAGAGGAGTCAGCACAGCTTCGTGAAGACTACATGAGATGTGTGGGACTTTACACCCCAAGGACACAGGCACCAAGTCTAAATAAAGATCATTAGTGCAGTTACTAAATCTGCAATACCTGTAGGTAAGATGTCTACTTTAATGCAGAAATACATGATAGGAACAATTCTGAGCTAAAGTGAAGATGAACTACATAACTCTGTTGTTAGAAACCTCTTAAAAAAAAAGTTCCATGTTTATACACAGCAGTCATATTAAAGTGACACTGCACTTTCAAAAGAAAATAAAAATAGATTTTAGCTTCATTCCCATTAAAACTATGCAGGTTTTTGGGTTTTCTGTTTTTTGGTTTTTTTTTTTTTTTCTTTTTTTGCCTAGGGAACTCAACAATAATTCATTTCAGGGACAAGGAAAAAACAGTTAAGTTAAGCTGCTTGGATTCCTTCATTTTTTTTGCTAGGCCTCTTAAGAGAAGTGACATAGGATAAATTACTTTCTACTTCAGAGACAGTGAGGCAGTATCCTCCTCAAATTACTTTCCCATATACCATAACCACCATACTTAATGCTCTCTTTAAATCACGGGATCAAGTTCTCTGTTCTGTGTAGGTCCTTCTGATGTGTCCAACAACATAATTTCTGGAGACTCATTTGAAAACTTGTCTCAAAATAAAGAAGAAAATTTTACCTGAATATAATAAACCCCCTTTTTCTGGGCATACATCATAAGAAAACAATAATCCAAGTTTTGTTTTGTTCTCCATCTGAAATTAAATTGAAAGCTTAATGTTTATGAAAAAATCTTATTTCAATACAAGCTGGCAACATAAAGTAAATTTTATTACAAAGAATGACACATATTAGTGAAATGTTAGGACAGCTGTTTTTGGCACTGTTCCCTCAGGAAATCCACTGTCTGAAAGAAAAAAAAAAAAGGAACAAAGCTTTCACCTTATGCTTTAATACAGACATCAAACTGGTTTAATTTGAACCTGACTTTGTGACAACTACCTGACATTTCACTAAAAACACGTGTGCATTTAAAATGGTAATTCAACAAGAACTACTGGGTTTTACCCTGTATTTCATGAAGAAAAACAGCAAATGAAAGAGTCCCCATAGAGGAATAAAAGTATATCAAAAGTCTCAGCTCTCCTCCCAAAATTTAACACTAAATGGATTCAACCAAGCACAGGCTCTGATCATGCACAGAACAGCGTGTAGCTAGGAATGAGATGGATTCACAGAGCACTTTTAGCATCCCCACACTTGCAAGAATTACAGTAAGAAAACATTTCAAGAATTCACATCCCACTTGCTGTTTTATAAACAACCAAAGGGTGGGTGTGGGAGGAGATGGGAAAAGATCTGGGGGAATAAACCTACCTCACTCTCTCTTTTGAGTCTCCAAATGTTTCTTTCAAGTTTGTCAAGTCAGGATAGTACGTTGCAGGAGGAGCTATTACTTCCACCAAGCCAGAATTGATCTCTGTAGAAAACCTGTCAACAAAATGATCCTGAAGTCACATGAGAGATTCTGAGTCCTGTAGTTCCTGCTTGCTGTCTGTTGGAGCAGTTATTGTGTCTCCTCAAATGAGCCATATAGAAGAACAATAGTATAGAAAAAAGTATTGTTTTCCTTAGCGTGTCCTTCAGAGCACTATCACCTTCTGCCAATCAGCATCAAACTACATTCTAAAAATTTTTTTTAGCTTTCTCAGAAACTAGTGATTTTTCTTCCTACAGTTCTCTTTGAACAGACAGAATACAAGGCCCTAACACAGATGTCACAAATTTCCATTCATGTTTAGACACTCCCATCTGTTTACGGTGCATCAAATAATTTAATCCCACTTCTTGTTTTACAGTTTAACTGACTGAATCACTGCCTCTTAATTTGCCTTACATTTTGTTCAAAAGTCCAAAGTTCCACAGAACAAAAAGGCATGATCTCTTATTTCCAGAATATTTTTAACTGCTTATTACAACCTGATTTATTTTATCATCAGTAAACTAAGAAATCCCCAATTAAAACTACAACTTACTCTCTTTCCAGGCTTGCAACAACACTGTTAACATAATCAAGATCAGTCTGGGGGAAAAAAAACAAACAAAAAAATGAATAGATTACTTGATAGTTCTAGAATTACATGTCAAAAGAATGAAATAAAATAAACATTGCAGGTGGCTGTCCCTGAAAACCACTTCCATTGTGTAAGATATTGGAGCAATAAAAAAACCACATCACACATGTAACTATGTCTTACCTCTAATATGAGAATTCTTTTGTAAACAGAGGGGAATAATTATCTCATACCTGCACTTAACAGAAAAGTCTTAAAACTCATGCTCTTGATGATGAAATGATCACTGAGTGTTTGTGTAGGAAGAACTCCATATTATTATTATATAACAATAATATATAAGAAAATATTACCAAAGAAATCTTTCTGGAAAACAGTGCATTGAACACACACACACTCCTCTTTCAAAAGCACATCTCTTAAGCTCTGCATTTAAAGCAAATGCCCTAACCACAGAGAGCAGTGAGCCTGCTGCCTTTCTGACTGGGGTTGCTTTTTTGCATCAGAGACTAAATCTGAGGGACAACCAATCCCATCAATCATTCACTTCTCATAGATGCAACAATTCTAAAAATTACTCATTGATGAAAATACAAATCATGACATTCTGGAAAAGTCTACATCATCTAAATTGCCAGCACTGGGCAATTATTCAACCTGGCTGTACACATGCATTCCAAGAAATGAGAATTTGTGAACTCATAAATGTGACTGAAAACCCTGGTCTTTGTTACACTTACTAATCTAATGATTTGACATACTGTTTACGGTTTTGAAAAGAATAGTCTATAAATCAACCCAGCTTTCTGACTCATGAGGATTCTGGAGAAAGAGTTGTCTTTGAAACGCCAGAAACAAATGAACAGTTCAAATTTTTTCTGATGAATTTGTAACACAGGATATCATTAAAGGATTATACACAGAGAATAAATCCCTCCCAAGCCTTTCTATAGAACTGTTAATCTTGTTTGATAAAGGTGCTCACCCTTTGATCTTAAAAAAAACACCATTTCTATTTTTTAAAGGTTTATTTTTATGAAATCAAACATAATGCCAGTGACGCAAGCTTTTCAAAAAGGATAACAACAGCAGTGGGTTTCTTCCAAAAGCAGATTTTAAATACCACAAGAACATGTGAGTAGAAAGTATTTATTGTAATTTTGTTGTAGGTATTTTCTTTTAAGTGCTATGCCTAATACTGGGCAGAAGTTTTAGTAAGCTGGTAAGGTGCTCACAATTTAAAACTCTTCTTGCACTGTGTTCCACACCAGGAGACTCACAACTCCACATGGACCTTTATGTACTTTACATATCACTGTTTAAATACTTTTATGAATTGTTTACACACATTTAATTAATAGAATGGAGTTAGACATAACTTCTTCTGTTTCGTGTAACAGCTGCAAATCACAGTAACGAAGTGACTACCTAAAAATAATTTTAGAATATCCATCTTTAACTGAGGCATTTATTTTTCTCTCTTTTCAAAACCTTTTAAATGTTAAAAATACAGAAATTGCAATTCAATCATCACATGAAAAGACAAAAAATTTGCATTTCAGTTGGCACGCCAAATTTCAATTACTCAGTCCAGCATTAAAACTCCAACACATGTAATACAGTCCATACTGAAATTGCAGAGAAAAATATAGGATTTATCTACATACACACACTCAGCAGAAACACAGCTAGTTTCTATTCAGTTTTCCAGAGATTAACATAAATGTCAAACTTCATGCCAACTGGAATCATGTATTTGATCACAAGCCTGTGCCTTAGTGCACATCTCCTTAGCGGGAACATAGTTTTGACCTATTTTCCAGACTACCATGAAGCCTTGCTACTGCTTGTAAAGCCTTACACTCTTGTACAGAAAACATCACAATCAGAAAAAAAAAGTCTGGAATAAGAGAGTTTTCTCCCTGCTTCCCACTATCTGTTTGCATGCTTCACATGAAAGGCTGGCAGTTCCCCCAGTCAGAGCTGCAGTCACAACAGGATCACATCAAAAACATGTAGCTTGAAGTCTTCCAAGCTCATATGGTAATCTTGGCTGTCACAAAAAGTCAGGAAGGTCTGGTCTAGCTGCTATGAACGCGAGATACAGAAAATACCACTGCTGGCTTAGCAGGCAACTTTTCCTTCTCAATCAGCGATCACTGTATCACTGTAGTGCAAAAGCAGATGACACTTTTAGACAGAAAAAGAACACGTAGATTGGAAGAGTTGATGTCAGTTTTCACATGACCAAATGCATTAAAACACTGTATTCTGCCATCATTTTAAAATAAGCAGTTGTATTTATGTCTACCAGCTCCATATGAGATTCAGAACCAGGATTTCAACATATCTTTCTACATCAGAACTTCCAGAGATAATCGAGTCCTCTCACTGCCCAGTCTAACACTAAGCAGGACCTTTGCCAACACCCTTTAGCATTGACATGTCCCAAGAAGGTGGCACTTTGATGTTAATTCACACATCATGAAATGAGAATACACAACAAATTTGATCAAGCTGTGACTATACCCAAGGGAAGAGTTAAGTAGACAGAAGACTTTGCAGGATAGCTTTGGAACGAAATCTGGAATAACTAAATTAAATCTAAGGATCTTTCAAGCAGTATCAGTAAATTCAATCAGCAGCTCAAAAGCAACAGAAAATAAATCCATTATTAATCAAAATCTATTATTCGTTTTCAAGGAATGAATGTTTACTGCCTTGACAAAATAAGATACAAGATCCTCTTTATCAATGTGAAGGACACAAGACTGCTCATCTCCAATAATCTTAAACAGGACAAGACAAATCCAGATTTATAAAAAACAAGTCACGAAGAAAGAAAATGTGTAACTGCTCTTTAGGCTTCCAGTGAAAATCATGTCCTCGACTTTGGAGTAGATCTGATGAACTTAAAATCTGTTTCATGGTATCAGTGCTGCTTGTAACTGTTGCAGTGAAATGTTGCTGGTGATCACAACAATACAGCTATGAATGCTTTTGTCTATCAAATCCAAAGGCAAAACTATAATTTTTTCTTACAAAAACTCCTAAGGCTGAGGATTAAAAGAAATCCCTAGGAATTCTGGACCCATAAAAAAGAAGCACAAATGAATATTTTAAGAATAAATCCCTTTAAAGCAATTAAGAGAAAATTGTGTTAGGCCCCAACCAAAGAGTTTAATTTCCAGCCACAAGGAGGCATTTTATCAATGAATCACATGAAGCCTTACAAACAACTTTGTCCTGGTGAGTGGATCTCTAAGAACTTCATAATGAAAGGTATAGGTAGGTATCAGCTGTTCAAATCTTTTTCCTGTTCTTTCTTCCTAGTCATATGAAATTACTGATCTTCAAGACAATGCAAAACACTTGAAGTAAGACATCTTCCTTTATTCACACCAGACCAAAGATTGATTCCTATCAGCACCTTGCTTCCATCAAAGGAGCCATGAAATGATACATAGCAAATAATAAGAACAAGAACAAGACAAGCACATACAAAACCCCCTCCTGCTATCATCCAAGCTCCAACTACTTTCAGTTCAGGTTACTTCCTGAGACAAATGTGATTTTGTGTACTTAATATTCCTCAGTAGACTCATCTTCAAGGTACCTCATTAGCATCCTCTTGAGCCTATCTAAACTTTCAACAAGAAAAGAAGATTCATTCTAGTTTATGAGATCTGTGGGGTTTCATAAGCCAGTGAACATGGCTGTATCTAAGGTTTAACTCTTTACGTGAACAATTTTGATGACAAATATATGTAGAATGCTTTGATGAATCTCTCTTTAAAAAAAGCCTCAGAGACTGTTGTAGAACAAACTGAAGTTGCACATTGTCAGTGAAATAAGTTTTAAATTTCCTCTGTTTTTGCAAAATGTTGTACTCCAATTCTCTAAAGCACTTTTCTGAAGTGTTGGCAAGGCTGCACATCAAATTTGTGATTATTCTAACATTTGTCTGAACAGACATCATTATTCTCAACAAACATAGAAAGAGCTGGAGCAACACTGAACTTTCTGAACTCCTTCATTGATTTTTATGAGTGAGTTTGTGCACAGCAAAGCAGCAGAACACATCAGCTAGCAGACAAAACGAGAGGTTAGAAAGTTCTGATGAACAGCTAGCCAAATGTCCTACAAAACCAATATTTCTTCTTTTAAGAATCAACCCTTTCATACTGTTGAATCCTGACTTCATACCCTCAAGAATGACAGAAGATAGGCTGTTTCTAAAAATGTAAGGAAAACCATGACATTTAAGACCAAAGGTTTATTTACTGTCCTAAGTGGCAGATGCATAGAAAAAAATGCAATCAGAGAATCTCTCAAGCTAAAAAGGACCCAAAAGGATCTTCAAGACCAACACCCAGTTCCTCAAATGACTACCTAAAACTAAACTACATGCCTAAAGGCATCATCCAAATGCTTCTTGAACTCTGACAACCATGGAGCCATGACCACTTCCACCGGCAGCCTATTCCCATGACTGACCACTCAGTGAAGAATCTTTTCCTAGTGTGCATTCTGAACTTCCCCTGATGCAGCTTCACACCATTTCCATGTGTCCTGTCACTGGTCACCAGAGAAATGACATCAGCCTCTCCCTCTCCACTGACCACCTCGGGGAAGCTGCAGACTGTGATGAAGAAACCTCTCAGTCTTCTCTTCATAGTTTAACAAACCAAGAGACCTCAGCTACTCCTCCCAAGTCTTTCTCTTGAGGACTTTCACCATCTTGGAAATTTATCTAGACTAGATTGTCTAGATTATCCAGATCTCAATTCTTAAATGAAATCTCCTAGAAGCAAGACTTACATTATTCAAGAACACCTTTCAAAGAATAAAAAAAACCCTGAGAAACAAGCATGCTAATCTGCATAGTGTGGTCATTTCACTGCTTACTAATTACAATTTTGTTTGATCTTTTATCATCCCACAGAACAGGAGCGGGATAATTTTACCACGTATTTCATATAATGACAAGCAATATAAAATTACAGCC